GACATCCAGTATTGTCTTCATAGCTCTCATAATTGCACAATTAGAAGTAGAGTTCAGCTTTACCAGCTGAGCCACAGTGGAAGCCCAGAATTAGGATTCAGAACCCAGGATTACGTGTCACGTCAGTCCATTTAGACATCTTACTTCTGTAAAAGACTGCTGAAACACAGAAACTTAGAGGTGACAAAATTCGAGGGTGGAAATTAACATGCAGGGTTGTCTGTGTTCTGACGTAAAGGCGGTGGAGGTGAAGGGTCTTTACTTCAGGAGCTCTGCTCATTGGCCAGCAGAGGGCGGGCAGCAACACAGCTCAGTACCCGTCATTTCTGCTCTGTTGCCCCTCCGGCCTGGAAGTTCAGGCCTTCTAGGGGTAAACATGTCCAACTTTTGTTCCTAGTTAACTGTTAAGATTCACGGACACGTTTGTGTTTTTCTTGGTCTTACGATTCAGAGACTGGAGTGGAAGGAATGGACATTGGCTCATGGAGATGGTGCTGATGAGCCTGGTTGGTTCTGTAAGGCAGCACTGCCACTCTTCCACTATTTGATTTGAGGAGCTTGTGAAAACCTTCCTATCACAGTTGGGGTGGCAGGACAAATTATCAATATTTCTTTAAACTAACCAGGACTTACTTACAAGAATAGGATTTAGGCGAGAACATTTAATTAGATTTAACTAGGGGATGCAAGAAAGATCTTGGAACTAGGGTTATACTATTTCCGATTTACAAACCTTCAATGCCTCCCAGCTGACAAATGACGTTTATAGAGAATACACTGTATGCCAGGTATTGTCCCTATTTAATCCTTAGGCCAATCTCAGTTACTATTCCTGTTTTGCAGATTAGGAAACTAAAGCACAGAGAAGTTAAGTAATTTTTCTGAGGTTACTATGGAGGAGACAACCTATATGCACCACCATTCAATCCCCCTGTGTATTTTAATTTTTAAATTTATTTATTCACTAAACTAATTTATTTTTGACTGTGCTGAGTCTTCATTGCTCATGTAGGCTTTCTCTAGTGGTGAGCAGGCGCTGCTCTGTCACTGCAGCGCCCGGGCTTCTCACTGCCGTGGCTTCTCTGGCTGCAGAGCGTGGGCCCTGGGGACGAATGGGCTCAGCGGTTGTGGCACGTAGACTTAGTTGCTCCACAGCATGTGGAGTCTTCCTAGACCAGGGATCAAAACCGTGTCCCCTGCATTGGCAGATCGATTCTGAACCACTAGACCACCTGGGAAGTCCCCCAGATAACTTTTGAATTTAATTAGTACATGGGCTAGCATGAATTCACTAGTATAGCAGTAACATAATTTAAGAAAACATAGGTAGAGACGCTTTTAAAAGTTTTACCTCACAGCATCTACCTGCTGTATTGAGAAATATGGATAGCTGGTTATTTTTAATTACTTACTGATAACTGACAGTGTTCAAGTGTTCCTTATTAGATCAAAAAAGTTCCTCTAAAAATATGAAGCTTTGTTTACTGATATAATTGAACAACTTAATGAAGGCTAACTTAATTGACCTGACAGTTTTAGAGAATGCTTACATTTAGGTTTGGTTATGCTTCTGAAAACATCTGTTGTACACTTAGTAAGTGAATTATTTCTTTCATCTTCATTGAATTTCATCTTCTATTTTATCCTCTTTTCATCTAAATGAAGAATACAAATTAAGGAGTATGTTCATGTAGAAAGTCGATTGGGAAAACCTTCTGTTTCAGAAACAAATAGTACATTGTCCCAAGAGGTTTTTATTTTCCTTCTTACAACTTCTCATCTCCTAACTACATTTGTGTTCTTTGGCATTGACTGAATAGCATAACCAGAAATCAGTCCTAGACAACTTTGGGTAAAAAGACTTGGTGAGAAAGAAGAAAATGAAAACTGATGGTGAGGGCAGATTTTGAGTTTTTACAGCTCTGGGTTCCACCCTCCTTACTGTGGATAATTAAGAGGTAGCTGACTGTTCTGGCCAGGTCAGTGGGAAGCTGACAAGTCAGACTGTGGATTTTCCCACATCATCAGCCTAGGAATAAAATTGCTATATATTTGTATCTAAGTTCAAGAAAGACTGACTTTCCAAGCCAGCCACTGGTTTGGGAGAAGAGAATGCTGTCACCTTCGTAGAGTTGTGAATTATAAAAGACATTTCTGTTGGGTTACTGCATGTCCCTTGGGGTTTGTTTCATTTATAACATTGCCTCAGGCCTTTCACGGCATCCTGTTGGAATGACCTCCTTTTCAACCCTGTGCTGGCAGCTGCAATGTGGCTCTTTCCCGGGGATCCTTCAGGCTGCTCACGTGACCAACGTGAACTGCGACCCCTTTGTTCCTTACCCAGATGATTAGTTTTCCTTTTTTTTTCTATTTAATAACTTTGCCTTATTTTCTGTCCTCTTTTTCCTCTTCACTTCCCTTTTTATTTCCTACATACACAAGACTTTGGGTGGCAATTTAAATTTTTTTTATTGAAGTATAACATCAATGCAGAAAAGTACACAGATCATAAGTTAGCTCACCGAATTTTCACAGCATGAACATACCCATGCAGACAGTCCTCAGGTCAAGGAAGAGAACAGCACCAGAATCCCAGCAAACCTCTCCTGTTCCCTTTTCTGGTTGCCATTCTTCTCCCTTAAAGAGAATTGTTATCCTGACTTCTACAGCTTTGCCTGTTATTAAATCCAGAAATGGAATCAAACCATGTGTATTTCTTTGCACCTAGGTCCTTTCATTGATCATTTTTGTGACTTGTCCACATTACTCTTTATTCCTGCTATGTAGTATTCCATTTGTGTGCATAGTCCACAGTTTATTCTGTTCTTTGTGGGCGTTTGGATTGTTTCTAGTTTAGGGCCATTATGAATAGTACTGCAGACATTCTCATACATGTCTTTTATCAAAAGACTGACATATTTCTGGATATTTACATAGAAATGAAATTGCCAAGGCCTAGTGTGTCCATCTAACCATTTAATTTAAGATTCATGTCAACCACTGCATGGGTGATTTTTGGTGAATTCTTGGCAGGAAACATTTGTAAACATATAGATTCAGCTTCAGCAAGTCTAATCTTTGGCTATGAAAAATGCCTTTAGTTAAATGTGTGGTAGTTTTAAACAGATGACTCCTTTATACAACAAAATTGCTGCTCAGTCATGTGTTTCATTAACTTTCTTCCTAATGTGTCCTTTTATCCAGCATTTCAAAGCTGAGTTGGTGGGCCCATTCTGTAAAAATCTTACGTATTTTGACAGTAATAATTTACACGAGTTAAGATTTCATGTTTGTTATACGGCCTCTAAGTAACAGTGCAGGGGAGAGTGATGTACTGGTGCTTGACTGTCGTGCTTAGTCAGAGCTACAGAGGCTGGCACTCGTGTTTGTGCAAATTTGTACCAAGACACCTGCAAAGGTGATGAAAGACAGGCTCTACACCAGAGAGTCTCCAGGAGAAGTAACCGGGCAATTGTGTAGCCGAGAGTAGTCTTTTTGTTCTTTTTTTAAAATCAGGACTTTACAAAACTTGTTTCATGGATGCTTCTGAATAAGTTTAACCTAATGAGTATAGAAATGTGATTGTGATATAATATGCCTTCAAAAGGGAATAACATCTTTGAAGGAAAGTTTATTTGTGAAATAAAATCTTGCCAGTCATTCTGTGAACATGTATGGGATTAAGTTGACTTGCTTTGACCATAGTGTTTTGGAGACCTTCAAGAGAATTTCCTTACCTTTATCAAAAGAAAACAAAGCAAAAAAAAAAAAAAAAACAGAAAGAGGGAGTAATTAAAATTTGATGGTTATAAAAATATAGTAATGGAACCATCAGATTCACTTCCCATGTTAGGTAGATAGCTTTCCTTTAGAAGAAAGTCTTTTGAGTAGGGAAAGGAGGGTTTCCATTCCAGTTGAGATGGTTTTGAAACAAAGTATAGTAAAAATAAATAAATAAAAGAATGAGAGAATAAAGGATTCATTTCTGCCAAATTATTCTATGTCTGAGTATTCTGTATTTTTATTTCTTCCAGTCTTTTTTTTAATAGTGATGTATAGACATACTGATAAGAGAATTTAATATCTTAATATAGAAATATTGGGTTTAATTCTACTTTGAATGACATTTAGAACTCACACTGAATTGTTCAGTTGAGAAAGTATTGCTGATAATCTGTGTTGTCCTGTGTACTTGGCTAAGCCCTCGATGACATAGAAATGATAGTCCCTGTCCTCAGAAAGCTTACAATCTAGTGGGTATGGCAAGTACAAATTACAGTGTAAAGCAATTGTCACAGTGAGAATTCTTGAAGGAAAGGAGAAGGCAAGTAGACCCATTTGAAATGAGTCTTAAAGGATAAGTCGTTTGGCCTGGAATGGCCTTTTGCTGATCTTGGCAGTGAGAAGTAAGGCTAAAGGGAAGCAGGTAATGAGTTTGTACCTGATATGGTATCCCAGGTGATGCAGTGGTAAAGAATCTACCTGCCAAGGCAAGAGATGCAGATTCAATCACTGATCTGGGAAGATCCCCTGGAGAAGGAATTGGCAACCCACTCCAATATTCTTGCCTGGGAAATCCCATGGACAGAAGAGCCTGGGAGACGACAATCCACGAGGTCGCAGAATTGGACACAATTAAGTGACTAAGCAGCAACACAACACAGAACAGACCAAGAGCGTTCTTTTTAGATCAAGTTAAAAATTGAGTCTTTGCTCAGTGTTGCTGTCTAACCTTAAACAGGTTGTGTCAACCTATCCAGGCTCAGGTTCCTCATTTACTTAGGGGGGACAGCGCCCATGTCACTTGCTGCAGCGTTGTAGGAAAGATGAGATCCTGTGCAGAAGTGTAGCTGCACTGCTGGAGGACCAGGTCGAGCTCTCGTGATGTGACCTCCAGCACCTAACTCAGGAGCCAGAGGAGAGCAGGCTCTTGCTGAACTGACAGATTCTCTTTGAAAGATGGCTTACTTTATACTTGCTTCTCCCTTTATTTTGTTTAGGGTTTAAAAGACAACCTGTTTGCTTCTGGGACATCCAGTCTGACAGCCAGCAAGCAGCTGGTTCGTCCAAGAATCACGAGAATCTGCCTCAGGGACCTGATCTTCTGTATGGAGCAGGAGAGGGATATGAAGTATTCCCGAGCTTTATACCTGGCCCTCCTGAAGTGACCACAGGCCCGCCATCCAGACCCTTGCTACTTACTGCCAAAGAAGACGTCACGAGCGTTGTTGTGCAGTCCTGACATTTCGTTTCTAGAAAATAATCACCAGTAGGGGAGACCATTGTTTACAGTTATAAACTTTTACTAAATCGTGCTTATATATCCCATGAGGTTCTTAATGACTAGGATTCAGCTTTGTCTCCTGAAAATTGGTTGTGACATATGGTGTAAACCGTAGTAGGCCTCTGTCTTCGTACGTGTTTAATTACAGCAAGGCTCTGTTTGTTCCTGCCTGCTTCACTTGTTAACAGGTAAGGTGTCTCTCCCTGTTACATCCTGCACTGAGATGCAGGGGGACAAGAGGGGAAGTCTTTACTTACCAGGAAACTATGTATTTCATCCTACATGGAACCTGACTCAAAGTGTTAGGTTTTCTGGGCTGGAATCAGAAGTTGCTAAGCTAACTGTGACAGTCACTTTCTGTGGTTGAAGGTGACAAGCCACAGGGAAAGACCCCATGGTGGTGACTTAGGTCAGCTGAGACCTATTGATGTCAAAACATTGACAAATGGTGATAGTTTGTGCCCAAGGTTCCCTGGTTCACGTCACTACGTGCTGCTTCTGATACCAAGGGGACATCCTTGTCAGGGAAGGATGCTATACATTGAAGCTGCTGGTATACCTCATGGAAAAATGGAAAAGATAGCGAGTATATGAAGGAATGATGGGGTACTGCCTCCAAATTGATGGAAGGAAAATGAAAATGCACTCGTAACAGGAAATGTGCTTTATACACCTAAGAGGAGGCAGATCGAATTAGAACTCCAAAGCAGCCAGTATATATTTTGTTGACAGGGAAAAACAAAAAATCTCAGCCCAACCAAAAAGGAAAATGTGTCAAACATTTTCAAATTACAGTATTTCAGAAGAAGTTATTCTTTGTTTTGTGTATTGCTTTAAATCTAAAGAAGGATAGTTTTATAAACTCTTTTAGCCTAAGTTTTAAGCATCTTGTTGCATTTAAAAAAAAGTCCTAATTGATGATTAGAAATTTTTAACAATGGATTCCATTTTGGGTTCTGTACACAAAAGGTAATGTCAGCATCTTACTCTCGAACATCTTGGCTCTGCATATATTATGAGAAGCATGTTACATGTATACTCCTCTGAAGAGGAGGCTGACATTTTTCAAAGCAAACCCTCTAATTTTTTTTTAAATTCGACTTTTGTGGCATGTAGCTGGTGAAAAATAACAACTGTAGTTAGAATCACATACAGAAAAAGTGAGTAAATCCTCCAAAGAAGGTTTTTAAAAAAGGGGTTGGGGGAGGAAGCTGTGCTTCTTAGAAAAAGAATTCAGGGGAGAGAAAAAAAAACCTCAAGTATGTTATTCTTCATCCTGTTCTTCCCTTTGGGACTGTTATGGCCATATTCTGACTGTAGTAAGTTTTAAATTGGCCACATTTTCTGTTTCAGCAAGTTATTATGTAAAAATGCTATAAATTATGTATATGTTAAAAAAAAGTCCTTTAAGAAGAGATCTATACCTAAAGTTGTTTTTGTATATTGAAAACAAGCTTAGCTTTATTTTTTGGTAAAGTGCAGCACAATCCCATATTTGTGTATAATCTTCTTGATCAGATGTTTAAAATTATTGCAGATACTTCATTAAAATAATTATTTTATTATAAGAATAACGTTGCATAATCACTGACTTGGGCAACATCTCTGGAAGTCCACCCATGAAGCTGGGGGCTGGGCAGTGAATCTTTCTTGGCTCGGATTGTTACTCTGGAGAATGAGCATTCTAGAACCTCACTTCAGATCCAAGCTCCTGTATCACTTTCTTTGACATAGTTGTAAATTTGCATGGTATTTGACTCACAGTGAAAGCTACGCATATTCATTACAAAAGCTTTTCTTGGCCCATCAAAGTTTTCTTACAAAGGTATTCCTTTTTCCAAATTTAAATTTATTACACATTTTAAACTTTGGGTCATGGAGTAGATCTTACACACAAAAAGACACACACAGTGGGCCTGAGGTATTCCTCCACTCACTTTACAGAATGGTGTCCCGGGGCCAATTTGATCTCTTAAGTGAATTTTCTGTGACTTGCATGTTGCTGCCAGTATTTTAATTCACAAAAGTATATTTCCAGTTCTTTTGAAAAATTAGATGATCTGGAGTCGTTAGTTGTACCCGTTTGTGTGACGACCTTCTGGAGTCAAACCACTAGCTGTCTAGGTGTGAGGGCACAAGTTTACAATCCCTTGCTTGATCCCTTTAAGCACTGATGTTTGAGGCTCTCTGCCTTCATAATATATTTACTTTGTGGGATGAAAACTAAAAGAGCAAAGTGCCAGAAGTTCTCCATCTATTTACTGTATTTAAGCAACTATTGAGACATGTTTTACATATAAAATTCACCATTTTATTCATTTAATTTTAATATGACTGATGGACCTTTTAAATTATTTCTTCGTGGCTATCTGTAAGATTCTTCTCTTTAAAAAAGTGAATTTAACTTTCTTTCAAAGGCTGTATTTGTCTTTTTCTTTTTTAATTGAATGAAAGTTTCAATTCTATAGTGCTCTATTGTTTTACAATTTTCAGAAGTTTCACACATATGATTTCATGTAATCCTGTAGTAACCCTTTTTTCCCTACCCCTTTATTGCCCCCTTCCCTCTCTCCACTGGTAACCTCTAGTTTGTTCTCTGTATCTATGAGGCTGCTTATTTTTTGTTTTTATTCACTAGTTAGATTTCCATTGGTAAGTAATATCATGTGGTATTTGTCTTTCTCTGACTTATTTCACTTAGCTTAATGCCCTCCCATGCATGTTACTGCAAATGCAAATTTTCGTTCTTTTTATGGCTAAGTAGTATTCCATTGTGTGTATACATACATATATACACACACAACCACATCTCTATTCATTCATCTGTTGATGAACATTTTGGTTCCCTCCATATGGAGTTGGTGATGGACAGGGAGGCCTGGCATGCTGTGATTCAGGGGGTCGTAAAGAGTCGGACACAACTGAGCCACTGAACTGAACTGATACCTTGGCAATTGTAAATAATGTTGCTTTGAACATTGGGGTGCATGTATCTTTTTAAATTAGCATTTAATCCCAGGAGTGGGATTGCAGGGTCATATGGTAGCTCTGGTTTTAGCTTTTTGAGAGACCTTTATTTTTCCACAGTGGCTGCACCAATTTCCATTCCCACCAGCAGTGTATGAGGGTTCCCTTTTCTCCATATCCTCACCAACATTTGTTACTTCTGGGTTGGTTGGTTGGTTAGTTTTTTGGGTGATACCCATTCTGACAGGTGTGAAGTGATATCTCGTGGTGGTTTTAGTTTGCATTTCCCTGATAACTAGTGATGTTCAGCATATTTTCATATGCCTGTTGGCCAGCTGCATTTCTTCTTTGGAAAAATGTTCTTCTGCCCATTTTTTAATTGGGTTTTTTGTTGTTTCTGTTGTTTTTTGATGTTGAGTTATATGAGTTGTTCATATATGTTGGATATAAATCCCTTATTGGTCATATCATTTGCAAGTATTTTCTCCCATTCACCAGGTTGTCCTTTTATTTTATTGATGGTTTCCTTTGCTGGGCAAAATCTTTTAAATTTAATTAGGTTCCATTTGTTTATTTTTGCTTTTGTTTCCTTTGTTTTAGTAGATGGATCCAAAAAATATTGCTGCAATTTATGTCAGAGGGTACTCTGCCTGTGTTTTCCTCTACAAGTTTTATAGTATTCAGTCTTATATTTAGGTCTTTAATCCATTTTGAAGTTTATCTTTGTAAATGGTATTAGAGAATTTCTAATTTCATTCTTTTACAAGTAGCTGGTTTTCCCAACACCATTTATTAAAGAGACGGTCTTTTCTCCATTGTATATTCTTGGTGCCTTTTTCATAAATTAATTGACCATCGTGTGTGTTTATTTCCTGTTCTGTTGATCTGTGTGTCTGTTTTTGTGCCAGTACCATACTGCTTTGATTACTGCAGCTTTGTAGTATGGTCTGAAATCAGGGAGTATGATTCCTCCAGCTCTTGTTATTTTTTCTCAAGATTGTTGTAGCTATTTGGGATTTTTTGTGTTCCCTTACAAATTTTAAAATTATTTGCAGTTGTGAGAAATGCCATAGGTATTTTGATAGGGATTGCATTGAATCTGTAGATTCAGTGCCTTGAGTAGTATGGTCATTTTAACAATATTAATTCTTTCAATTCAAGAACATAGTATATCTTTCCATTTGTTGGTGTCATCTTCAGTTTCTTTCATCAGTGTCTTATAGTTTCCCAAGTACAGGTCTTTTACCTTTTTAGGTAGGTTTATTCTTAGGTGTTTTATTGTTTTTTATACAGTGGTCAGTGGGCTTGTTCCTTAGTTTCTGATAGTTCATTGTTAGTGTATAGAAATGCAACAGATTTCTATATATTAGTTTTGCATCCTGCAAATTTATCGAATTCATTGATGAGCTCTAGTTTTCTGATAGCGTCTTTTTTGTAATATATCATCTGCAAACAGTGACAGTTTTACTTCTTCCTTTTTAGTCTAGATTCTTTTTATTTCTTTTTCTTTTATGATTCTGTGGCTAGAATTTCCAAAATTATGTTGAATAAAAATTAAAGCCTGTATTTCTTGAAATCTGCTTTGAGGTAAATTTTGTTTCATTAGAATTTTGGCCGAACTTTATTTAGAATTAAAACCATTTATACTAGTTATGTCATAGTTGCAGTAAAAAAACAACAACAACCAAAAAAAAAACCCACAAGCAGTATTAGGGCATATTTAGAAAAATAAGGAACCAAGATCTCAGGATGATTGAGTTGGACTTCATACCTACTTGTACAATGAGCCAACTAAGTGTTTGTGAAACTTTAATGTTAACAGGAGTCAGTGATTCTACAGGAAATACAAGTATAATATATCCTATGTTTATATATGACCTGGTAGCCAGTTTTTGTTTTTAACGTCACTAGCTTTTC